GATGGTTTATGTATGAGAATGATACCCGTCTTTATGATATATTGCAATCTCTAACAAGTAATGTCGATTACTTCAGTTAAACCTGCACCATCTGGCTTCAGACCAGAGGGTACAGTTTTGTTTTCCTGTCACTGTGCTGCATAAAATGCTACCTGGCTGGCAAATCAAGTTTAGCAGCATAACCAGCTGCCAAAAAAAACAAAAAACAAAACACTGCTTAAGTTGAATAAAAATGACCTGGAATGAACTCCGTCCATGAGACAAAATGCAGAATGAAGTAAGACTGAGCTGAGCTTTGAAAGACCATTGGATTATATAATTACATGATGTTGTAATTAAGTTATTTGTTTGTTTTTCTCTTTAATTTTGAGCAATTAGTGTTTCCGCAATTCTACCTATTGGTTTCATTGTGTCAGCTGAGTGACCATATTCCTACTGCTGATTTAAAACTCCACACTATTCAATTTTAACCCTTCAGACAAATAAAATCAACATATTGCTGCAAACCTGATATGTACACATTATCCTTATCTGTCATACAGTCTTTCTGGCAAAGACAATTGGACAAATGTTATTTTCAATATGGGGAGCCAGGGCAATATCAAAGTCATTAGATATCTGTTCCAAGCTTTCATGTTTAAGCCTCCTCATCATTGACATATTTAGTATGATGAGACCAAGAGAAATTAGTTTGGCTCAGATGAGGCCCAGGATGTTGGGCATGAGACTTGACAATGAATTCATAGTCCTGACAGTGAAGCACAGCGAGCGACACTATACCTAAATCCACTAAAACACCTTCGAGCACATGTGTCAAACCGTCACGTCATTTGATGTGTGTTTCCTAATCTGATAAATTAATGGGATGTACCTGATATAATAAAAGCGGTGTATAGATAACGGATGGATGGATGGATAATGTTATAATTTATGTTATAATAACGCAGCAATGTGCCTTCACAGGGCTCCAGACTGAGACCAAAATGTTCTCATGTGTGACCACTTTTGAACGTGTGCGAGTTAAAGCTCCACGTGGTCGCATTGTGCGATTGAACAACGACATTCTCAGAACTGTGACATGCTACCAAGACGAGAACACACGGGAGCAGAGCTGGCATGCACACAGACAGAATACTAGACTGTGATGAACACACGAAAGAAGGGGCAGTAAATTAGGGCCAAGTGAATGTGGATGGAGCATGACGTGTGAGGCGGCAGGTGCGGCTAGAATGGCGTTGTCAACAGTTGCAGGTCAGGCTTCTGTTTGGGCACGGCAATCCGGCAGAACAATAGTGAGATGTATGCAGGCGACAGGCAGGCATGCAGCCAGGCAAGCGGAGCAACCAGGAGTGGCCATGGCCTGAACAAAGAGAAACAAGTTAGTGACAAGGAACAAAAGTGAAACCAAAATCCAAAGAGTGGCTGACTAACAGAGTTATTCAACAGTCCGGCATCATGTGTGAGCCCGGCTTTCATGGTGCAGGAGTGAAGAGCAGACAGGTGGACCACTCACCACAGGTGTACTGCAAACATTCCACACATACCTCACTCACATGAAGGAAAGGGAAAAGATGGAGCTGGAGGTGGAGTGCATGACACCATTTTCCTCAGTATGGACAACTGAGTGTGTCTGTCATGTCTGTCAAGTTTCTGTTCATGTCTGCACATTATGTCTCGTCTTTCCTGTTTTATTTTGAAATCACTTCACTGGGTGTTCTGTTCTAGCTTTACTTCCTGTACCTGTCTTGTCTCACCTGCTCCCTGACTACCTCCCCGCACCTGTTTCCCATCTCCCCTCATTACCTTGTGTATATTACCCTGTGTGTCTCACTGTCTCGTCGCCAGTTTGTTGCACTTCACAGTCCTCGTACCAGCGTTACGCAAGTTAAGTCACAGTCTGTTTGATCTCGACCTGGTTTCTGCTTTTTGGACTTTGCCTCTGCCCGCCGATTCTCGGATACTTCTGCCTGTTGGACTGATTTCCTGTGTACCAAACCCTGACTGCCATTAAACCTGTCTTTTGCCTGTCCACCCATTCTGTGAGTGAGTTCATGACAGTGTCATACTGTGCAACAGATCGTGGAACCTACTCTTTATTTGGTCAGTCAGCAAGTGATGTGACAGTTTTGCAAAAGGGTTTCACGTTTATTGAATTTTCACAACGCAACAAACATTTAACAACAGCATCTGATATCAGCCATTGTAGCATTCATGACACAGTTTTGACCCGACACTGTACATCTGCAAAACACATCAAAGTGAAAAAACTCAAATCCAAAAGAGCTTTTTTAAAAAAAGTCATCATCGGCACTCATACTTTTAAACAAAACACTTTTCATTGCTTCATTTCTCTGTATCCACATGATGTCATGAGTCTTCCACTCAACACTTTATTCCTAAGTCTCCGACCTCCTCACCTTTCCTCTCTACGACAACTTTCTTTAACCTTCACAAAATGTACCCTCAGTCCAGTAAGTTCATGCAGCAGTTTAAAAGTAGCAGGGTAGCCACCCCCCGCCTACCACCTGAAATCTTCACGTAAATCAACAAAGTCCCACAATCCCTCAGTGAAGCATGAAATCATCACATCCTCCCATGGAAAAAGTATTTACACGTATACACAACTTTTCTTCCATTACATCAAAGTACAAAAAGAACAAATCATCATGCACATTAACAAAAAAAAAGTCTGTAAAAGTCTGTAATAACCACAAAACCCAGCAATGAATGACTTTACTGTTGTGAATAAAGCCCAGCAAGTTTGAATAGAAAAGAGAATAGACTATTAAAATGGGGAACATGGGAAAATATAGATTATTTAGGAACCTTTCAGACAATTGCACAGCTTTAGAAGACTTATCACACTTATGAAGAGTGATATTACCAAAGTCATAGAAAATACTGGGATGGTATTTTTGTGTTACTACGTATGATATGCTATTGTATACGATGTGGTAGTTTCATTATAGTATTTAGTATTTTAGTAGTATTGTTTTATTTACAATGAGTGTATTAAGCACATATAAAGAGTCAGCTTACACAAACTGTTAAAATATATATATGGACAACTGTCTACCAAGCTCTAGATGTGACAAAGATACTGTTCCAGATCATCTGTCTTACCATATTTTTTATTTGCGTTTTGAAGCTTCACTTTAGAAAAAGTTAATGGAAACCCAGTTGTTAGATAAACATTTTATGCTTGCTTTTTTGAAAAAGAATGAATGCACTTCATAGGATACGTAAAGCCTTTTGTTTTATAAATGATGTGTCGAACATTTAACTCATGTGACTGATCAGTTGTTCCTATAGCCGCTAATGTGAAAGAATAATTGCAGATTTCCCAATCAAAAACAGTTTTCCTCATGTAGATGGAAAACGATTTGTTCCTTTCTTGGTGTTTTTTTTTTTTTTTGGTAGTTGGCAAACAGCTGGGTTTGTTTCTAGATTCTTGTGCTGTGCTAACCTATCCATCAAGCCCCAGCTCCTCCCTACGTCAGCTTTATGGCTTAATAGTAACGTCGCCCGAGTGTAAATAAAGGGCGTACGTAAATGTATGTTGTTTGGAGACCACTGTTGAAACAAGAGATGACGTTTTAGAGATGTTGCCTTTGAGGAAGTTCTTCTATAAAATGTTCCCACAATGTTACATGACAACAAAGGAAGGATGTTGTCAATGCAACATTCAGAAAGGGTTTTTAAACATTGCCTTGAAATTATATTTGATTTCTCAAAGTGTATTTTCTGACAAATAGAATAAAACTTCCTGCAGACATCATTACTTGAACTTTAGGTAACGTTCTCAGAACGTTTTTAGAATCAAAATTTTTGTAGCTGGGTAAAATGAGCAAAGAAACCATGTCCTTCCATCAAGTCCTGTGTGTTGCTGACCCATCCATAGAGCCCCACCTCCTCCCTACTTAAACGTTGTGGCTCGATAACAATGACGGTCAATCGAGGGCGCTGTGACTCTGGAATGATCTGCCCGAGGACATCCGGTCGGCTAATTCTGTGCTTTCTTTTAGGTCACTTCTTAAAACACATTTCTATCAGAGAGCTTTTCCTGATTTTATGTAAGTTTTATAGCTTCCTGCTTTATTTGTGTGCTTTCTATTTCTATCAATTATTCTGTGTGCTTGTTGTATTTTCACTTTTAATTTATTTTTGTTGAAAAGCACTTTGTAACGTTAGTCTTGAAAAGTGCTCGATTAATAAAGTTTATAATTATTATATTATTATTGTTGTTTGGAGGCCTTTGTTGAAAGGAGCGATGATGTCGTCTCACAGGATGTCTAGATGTCACTTCACAATTAAACATAACGATGGGTTGAAATAAATGCGAGCAAGTAGCATCATTACCATATAAGCATCCTGACTGAGTTCAACTGAAATTCTGTTGACTGTATTTCCACATCAATACCAACATCATTTAATTTAGGCTTTTTCCAATGTTAATTAATAAAAAAACTACAATCTAGCTCAAGCTAGCAGAATGCATCTGTGAGGAAACAGCAATTAAATCCTAAACAGTTTAACGTTTTCCACATTAAATAATCAGCCGAAATCTAAACAAAATACAACCTTTACAATATCGTGGCTTATCCAGCATAACTCAATAAGACATGTGAAGGCATTCCTGGATAACACATCAACCATTCTAAAACTGCAAAGGTTACAAAAGATTATTTTGTTTTCTAGCATAATGGCAATAAAGTAACACAAATAATTCAAAATGTAAAGGATGGACTGTCCAGCAGATCCACACTCGGTGAACTCTTATGTACAAAACAATATGTCAGCGTCATTAATAATGTGTTAGAAACAGTGACACACATAGAAATGAATGTCAAACGGAGCTAAAGAGTCCATCAGTGTTGTGTCATTCTGTTGCTCTTGGAACCTTTTAACGTGGAGCGAAAACTGAGGAGAAAATATTTACATGTGCTTTGCGAGATTTAGTAAAAAATCCCTTTTACATAATGTGTGCATACATTTATAAAGTTCTGTGTACAGATTCAGTCTGAACCGGTGCTGTGGATGCAAATCTTCCCTTTTGTGCATTTGCGGCTCTTCATTTTCACTTTTGTCATTCAGTGGACACAGATGGAACCGTCCAATATTCATCATCTTTCATGTGATTTTGTACATTTTTACACACAAATTTAAGATACAAATGATACAAACCTTATTGACATTAATAAAGACATTTCTACAAATCATCTACAAATACTGTGAGCGCTATGATTTTTCTTTTTTCGCCATTTTAGAAGGAAAAATTGTGCAAATGAGAGAAGTTAATCCACATAATGAGGCTGAAAAATCCACAAATGCACAAGTGAGGATTTGTAGTCACAACGGCATTTTTGTACCTAAAAAGAATGAAGCTGTCCACATACATCTACAAAAGTCAATTTAATCTGTTGTACATTCTTTTTGAACCACTGCAGAGCTCCTCATTTACACATTGAAATCTTCTGGATCACATGTGAATATTTTTCAAATTAATTTCATATTTGTTTGGAAACCTAAAATTCTCTTCTTTGAATTTCATTAAAAAAAAAGCCAGTTGTCCTTATATGTGGTGAAGGAATTATTATATGTAATAAACTCCATCATTGGTCACTTCATGAAACCGCAAAAGATTCTAATAATCAACATGATGTTCTCTTCAGCTTCCCATACTGTTCAGATGATTTGACTACTCAACACTAATGAGGAAATGAAAAGGTCGATGAACTGATTATGACGTTTCCATGCAACGTGTGATTGTATAAAATGACTTTTGTGCATTTTATGGGACTAACACAAGAAATGGTTTGTTGGCATACATATTTGGCTGCATGATACATATGTTGGGTTAGAATTTATAAATATCTAGTGGTGCTGATGTAAAAATAAAAATACAAAATCAATGAAAAGAAAAATTCATTTGTTCAAACAAAGGATTTCCAGACTTAAACCCTGATTAGTTGGGGGGTGACTGATCACCGTGCTAACAAGTCTACTATACAGACCTGTGAATAAAATGTTCAATTCTAATTTCAAAATTTTTTCCCCTTTTTTTGTTTTTTTACAGTGTGTTGACAAACTTGTACAAGTTAGAAAAAGTGAAGCAAAGTGTAAAAGAGTCCTTTTATACAAAAGGCCCAACAAGAAAACAACAATAAAATGAACACGTGAAATGACGACGAGGCCGAACCAGAGCGCTCCAGCATCCACTCAGAGCTCAGTCCTGTTGGAAACCAAGAAAGCAAGACAGTTCTTATGAGCACAACAACAGCAGATAAAACACTTCATGACACTTCATTTTATGTCTTTGACTTTGTTATGATTTAACATGAAGCTGATCTGAAAAATGAGTCCGTACACTTTTTTTTTTTCCTACATGCAGAGGTGGAATTTGATGTCAATTCAAAATGACTGTGTAACACCCACATGCAAAGTGGGTGTGGCTTAGCAAACATGGTGATGCAATAATTAGCTGGAGTTATACCAACAACAGAGGAAGTGGGGTGGAGCAGAGGAGGGTTTGCAACCACACACACAGTTTTGCTGCCAAGTTGGAACAGAAATAGGATGATATGTTTTTAAATATGACAATTAGACCGTGATCACATTATACAATGATACTGCTTTATTACATCACAAGTCGTTGACATTCAAGCATGATTCTCTGATTTTTTGACGTTAGCTGGTGAGTAAAAACACACATAAGAAAAATAATTTATAATTGTATTTATTTCAAGTTAATATACACTTATCATTCACACAGATCAATGCAGTTTGATTTAACTATGACAAATCTTTTGACACAACTTAGCATTTGGGCTTTAATCAAAACTATTTTTACAGAAATATATTTTCATGAAAACTGATTTTTTTTTACACATATTATACGTAAAACGAGTTGAATGAAA